ATATATATATGAACTTTGAAAACAAAAAGGACATTAGTTGTATAAGTACATGTATATATATGTATTGCAAACCATATACGTAACTAACCTTTGAAAAGTCAACAAGCTAGAATAAATCAAGATTGGACCACTTCCTTTAAGTGTTTTCGGCCTAGGACCCAACACATGGGGTTTTGGTCATGCTTAGACCAAAATCACATGTGATTTCGGTTTGCTTTAGGACATGTGATTTCGGTTGGAGCATGGGCCGAAATCACATGTGTTTTGGGTGTTTTCTTGTGAGTTTTCTATGGGATTTCGGTTTAGGGAATAAAGGGATAAGGATAGTTGACTTTATGATGAGATACTTCACCCTTTTCCCATGCAAATTAATATCCAACAAATATCCAAGCTTATAACCAAAAGTTAACTAGGTAAATATCACTTCACCCTTCCCTTCTTATACACGACAATAAACAATCAAAAACCCCCACTTCCATTTCTCTTTGCTGTAACTCCAAACTCTCTAAAAAAGAAAGCCAAAATCTTCCAAGTTCAAAATTCTTCAAGTGTGTTCTTAGAATTTGGTAACTATTCCTTCAAAATCTAGTGTATTTATACACTTTTATGTTAGTTTCATCATATTTACACATATTATTATGTGTTAAAATTCTTAGGATAATATTCTTTCCAAGGAAGTTCATCAACCCCATTCAAGTGTTTACGCTTGAAAATTTTCACACCATCTCCTCAAACAACCCACAAATCCACTCAAGGTGAGTTCATACCCCCACATTTTCAAGTTTTTCATGTTTTACCGGGGGGGGGGGGGGGGAATACAAGTAAAACTTTGTTTATCACACAAATATTTACATGTTTTCATCTTTATGTTAAATATAAGATATTATTTGCATAAGATATGGTTACCACTAGCTTTTGTACAATTATTTGTGATATATATTAGTTTTGAAATGCAAAACTAACAAAACAAACATAATCTATGTTATAAAATCATAAGAAAAATTATGACTTGCAAAACTACATGGTTTTTGAAGCTTTTTACTAAAATATAACTTTTATAACAAAAAAGGAGTACATTCTAGTTATTTCACTATTTTGTGGGTTACAACCCAAAAATATAATGTTTTGACCTTACATTTTGAAACTAGACAAGATAATTACTATATATTTATATAAATGATTATATAAATGTTCTTGACAAACAAACATGATAAACGATAATTGGTATAGTTTGGGAGTCACAAAACTACACTATCATTTCAGAAGAAACATATAATTATTTAAAGGTATAATTATTTCATTCACAAGAAAACGAATTTTCAATACGATAGACGTAAACTGGTTGATACTGGTTGTGAGACATTTTGCTTCACCGTACCCACCAGAGTACACATACTAAGACCTGCATTATAACCAGAGTCTCTTGGAGGGAGAACGTGACACTTGTGTATAGATCTATACGAGATTGACAACCCCGCACCTAATCTGTTAGCTACAGTTATAACGGCAGGTCTGGAGTGACAAATGTCGTATACAGTTCCGACGTCCGAAGCATGTCGTTCAGGCAACTAGTCACATTTGTATTGTTATAATAACTTACATGGAGTATTAACAAACATTTGGTTTATGGGCTAACGTACACTCAAATAGTTTCACAAAAAGATAAATCTTACTAAAACTATTTTCCAGTACCACACTTCTTACACTTTAGTCTTAGGTTAAGACTCACAACGAGGATAACATACATTCAAGTAGTTTATCTAAATATAAAAACTTCATAACACTACTTTTCGGTACAACATTACTTACATTTTTAGTCTTTAGACTTACAATTCATTGTAAATAAAATATTGGATTTTCTGGAAGTATACATTATCATTTTTGGCGAAACAGTTACAAAATCCTTTTCATACAAAACGCTTATGGACTCACCAACTTAATTGTTGACACTTTTCAAAATCACTTGTATTCTCAGGAAATCAGTAAACAGGTAATCACAAGAGTTTTTGGTGGATGGGACGTCGTCGCATCACGTTATTTACTTTTGTCATATGCATTTGATCTAATGTAAACAATGTTTTTGAGTACAATGTAAACTTATTAAATATTCAATACAATGGTTGAAATGTTTGATCTCTATTATTCAATTGTTATGATACTGTACATGAAGTCATCCGCCCCCATACGTTTCTGCCATTCTGGTTTGGGGGTGTGACACAGTTAATCCTAAATCTAAATTTGTACATATTGCAGGTTATCAATTGCATTTTCGTAACATTTGAATCTTAAACATAAACAATACGACATTAATCCAAAGAGGTAAATGTGAAAATTACCTGGGAGCCGTATCCATCGGCAAAAATGTTGGGGAAATTCCGCTCCATCGATGCCGGAAATTCATGGTTGAAGTCGTTGTCGCCGGAAAATGACGTGGTTCAACTCGTTGTTGTTGGGAAATGACGAGGTTGAAAACGATATCGCCGGAAAATTGAATAACGCTACCGATGCGGAGACACGAACGAAAAATGGAAGTCGGAGAGGAATCGGGGGGGGGGGGGGGGACCAAAGAGGAGACCCGTTTTTGTCAAAGAGGGGTGGGAGGAAATTACGAAAATACCCCCAGTCTGCGGAGATTTTGTCGTTCCGCGGAGCCCGTAGAGGTTGCTCCGCGGAATGCATGTCTATAGCCAAAATTTCGTGTTTTTGTGACTAAATTTTGAAATACCCCCAAAAAATGTCTATAAACGTCTTTTTCCCAATTAAGTTTTTACAATTGTACTCATCGAGGTCTTGTATCTATATATTTTTTTCACAATTATACCATTACTAATACTTTCAAAACACTTCTGTTTCAATATATGAGAAGCAACGCTAAACGATTTTTTTTTCCTTTTTTTCTTTTATTTAAAATTTTATTTGTATTTGACTATTTCTTATTGGATTATACCTTGAATGAGTTAGTTATTTAGAGTATTGAAATAAATATAGGCTTTAAAAATCTTAATTTATAAGTATATATTTTTTTGCTAAAAGATTAAGGTGTAGTTCACTAAAAATAATTAAATATGTTACAATTTTTTTTATTTCTATACACTTCTTATAAAATAAAAAAGGTGGGTCAAGTGACCCACATATATATTATATATTATGTACATTCGGCTCTGCATGTGAATGAAAAATTAAATTCAGAGACAAAACAAGAATGAAATGATTTTATATAAGGCTGTAAGTGAATCGAACAAAAGAATAAGAGCTTGTTAACGCTCGTTTGTTTAAGTTAATTGGGAAAATGAATGAACACGAATAGATAATCAAACGATTTTTTTTGTTTATGTTAATTTGCTTAACAAATTATTTTGTTCATGTTCGTGAACATGATAAAGAAACATAACCAAACGAAAATTAATGAATGAAGATAAACAAATACAATTGAATATATGAAAATAAACAAACATATAATATAATAATTTCATAAAAAACAATTGAGCATGAAATAAATAAACTTAAAAGAACAAATATAAATGAACATTTACAAATGTAAATGAACGAACAAGATTATTGTTCGTGTTGGTTCGTTTAACTAAACGAATGAGAATTTATATTGACGTTCGTTGATTTGTTAAATAAATGAACCATTCAACGATCGATTAAGGTTCGGTTCATTTTATATCCCTAATTTTATATCTTAACTTCGTATAAAAAGAGTTTGAAACGAGCCCATCCGCAAAACCGGTTTTCCATATTCTAGAAACCGATTTACTATTTATTTATTTTTTTGTGCGTAAAAAATCGGTGACAGACCTTTTAGACCTGGATTGCCTCACAGATGGACACGTAAACATCCTCCCCTCGTTTACGTTCAAACAAGTCGCTATTGTGCGCACATGGCACACTTTTCCGCACAATCTCTCTCCACAAGGAACAACACACTTTCCCACTTCACACCTGAAATCGTGTTCTCATTCCCTATACTATAGCAATTTGACACATTTGGTCCTTTATAAAGTATCAAACAACAACTTTAATTATACATCTTTTACAAAGTAAGAAGACACATAATCATCACTTTTGTTCTAGAATATGACAAGAATAGTATTCTTGTGTTGTATCATACATGTTGAACGACTTGTAGTTTCTATTAAGCACATCTCATTTTTTTTTCAAAGAAAAAAGAGTGATGTAAGTGTATTTTAGAGAAATTTTTTTGCTATATGTATATGATAAACGGATCAGCATAATACATTAATACTATAGTAATATAAAAACACATACTGGTATCAACGTGCACAACATTGAAAGTCTTATGGTTGGTTCAATGATTTTTTTCCCATCATAAACACAATAAGCGAAAGGTTTTAAAGTTGAAAATATGAGGTATTGCAAAGTAGAAAAATTACCAAGACTACTTATGAAGGTTATAAAGACTTAGATCAGTTCATAAATTTCCGTTCTACTTTATTTCATAAGATCAACGATCCTTATATAGACATTATTTTACAGATATGATATATGACTAAGTATTGTTAGTCAATTATACATACTATTCCGTATTACGACACTTACCTAACAAGCACATATTTGATGCTACTATGCATCATTGACGTAAGTGTCGAATATATTGTGTGTATGACACATACGTCAATGATGCACATTAGCATCCAATATATGTTTGTTTGGTAGTGTTGTAATATATAATAATATGTATAATTGACTAACAATAGTTAGTCATATATCGTGTCTGTAAAATAATGTCTGTATAAAGATCGTTGATCCTATGAAATAAAGTAGAGCGAATATTGGATGCCTAAAAGTAATACCGAATGTTTTTTTTTTGGGGGGGGGGGGGTTTATTGTTGTCGACATGCTATGTGGCCTGGATTGCCGGTGGCATACATCGATCCGTGATATTCGTTTTTTCACTCGTTGACGCCACTATACCTAAATCGATCCGCCTTAATTCCATGAATTTCCCCAAATTCGTTTATAAGTCGTTTAATTGTATGGGGTATTACAACACCTCTATTCCTCCTGTGATTTTGAGGAACATTATGGAAAACCCTGGTTGGTACACCCAATACACTCCCTACCAGGATGAAATTGCACAGGGAAGGCTCGAATCCCTGCTCAATTTCCAAACCATGGTAACGAATCTTACTGGTTTACCCATGTCAAATGCTTCATTACTCGATGAAGGAACCGCAGCTGCAGAAGCCATGACGATGTGCAATAACATCCAGAAGAATAAGAAGAAAACATTCATCATCGCAAGCAATTGCCACCCACAAATGACCGATATCTGTAAAACCATAGCAGATGGTTTCGATCTTAAAGTGGTCACATCAGATCTGAAAGATTTCGATTACTCTTTTGGTGAAGAAGATGGATCGGGGTGGCTTTTGACTTTATGGAGAGAGAGAGAGAGGGTGGGCCCCATATTTTTAATTAATAAACATTAAATTAAATAGAAAAAACAAAAAAAATATATCAGAAGGGCATTACAGTCATTTCAATTATCAGAGTGACCAAAAACGCAACGAAACTGGCTCAAAAGGACCACCAATCCAAAAAAATCGAGGTTTGGACTAAAACCCCAAAAAAATACATACCACAGGGACCACTTTTGCAAATTTGTCAAACAATTATTTGGTAAAATGAATCTTTTGTTGTTGATCTGTATGCAGTCAAGGACTAATTATAATAGTCAAGGGGCCTGTTGTGCCATTTCAGTACGATGAAGCCCCATAAAAAATAACCTCCTCCTTTTAAACATCTCACGTCTCACTATCATCACCAAAAACCCTCATTTTGAAACCATCTCTCTGCTGTCACACACACACACACGCAGAAAAGCACAGTTTTCCGGCGAAAATGGCAACAACAACCGCCGTTCTGATTCTATGCATCTCTGCGGTGGCGATGTACGCAGGACTCGTCGATTCAGCCCACCACACCGGGGCTCCAGCGCCAGCGGCGGACTGCTCAACAGTGATACTGAACATGGCTGATTGCCTGTCGTACGTGACGGCCGGAAGCACGGTGAAGACGCCGGAAGGAACATGTTGCTCAGGTCTTAAATCGGTGCTGAAAACAGACGCACAGTGTTTGTGTGAAGGATTCAAAAACAGTGCGCAATTGGGCATATCATTGAATGTCACCAAAGCCCTAGCTCTACCCACTGCTTGCAATATCAAGGCTCCATCTGTTACTAACTGTGGAAGTAAGCCTATCTTCATTTCCTCTGTTTTTGGCACCTTTATTTCTCTGTTGAAATAAACCCTAATTTTTGAATTTTTCTTTTGCTATTACAGTGAGTCTCGGTACTGCTTCTGCTCCTGGTATGTACAGATCTGATGTCTGATTACTCTTCTGTTTACATCTTGATTAATTTGTAGAATCGAAAACATAAAACCATATTCAAAGAAAGATCTTCGATGAGAACATATATGGGACTAAATCTACTGTATGTTCTTGATTCTATAGATTTCATTCCATTGATCTTCAATGAACATTCGCTTATTTTCAAAAAAATGAATCGGGTTCCAGTTGTTTCCTAAAAATTTCAAGCTTTTTTTCTAGTAGCGACTATGTACAACTTCGGATGCATATGTTGAAGGATTCTGAAATTCCTTGCTATCATGACTTGTACGTTCCATTAACTAGTACTGATTGCATTGATGGTTGTACATTTGCAGTTCAAGCACCAATGGCAATGGGTGAAGCTCCAACTGTGGCGGCGGGTGGTCTTGCTCCGGCACCGGCGTTGGGAAGCTCAAACTCAGCCGGGATAGGAATGTCAACCGGGTCGGTTTTTATCAGTATGGTACTAGCGGTTTACTTTTATTAATTTATTTGAAGGTTTATGATGATTTATTTACTAGTAGTTGATGGAAGTGAGTTTTTTTTTGAGAGGTGAGGGTATGGAGTACTTAGATGTGCTAAATATGTGTTTTATTTGTAGATGGCTATCGACTTATTTATGTTTCTTGATGTACTTTTAGTGGCTACCACCATTTTATTGGTATTTTACTTATTTATTTGTGTGTTCTAATATATTAAACCGGTTAATATTTATATTTATTTTCCAAGATCCAACATTTAAATGTCAAAATTAAAAAGTTAATAGCATAAAGAAAATTTGACATCTTGTTACATAAGATAGTTTGAAGTTTAAAAAATACCATCACAAATAAATGTCAAATGTTACATAAGATACAATAATTACATCTTGTTACAAAAGATACAAACTTTAATTAAGGGCTATTAATATTTTTTTTAGAAACTAACATTTAAAAAATATCATCACCAAAATTTACATTAGTAACCAATTTTTCACGCACAATTAATTTTTGTTGATGATTGTGCGGCATTTTGGGCTTGGATTCAACATCATTAATTGCTTTTTAATTATTTCATCTGATTTTTGTTATTTCATTAACTCCAAATACAACAACGTAATCATCAAGAAAGTTGATTTGCTAATAAGGTAATGCAAAAGTTAGAAAAATAACTTAAGAAAATTATATAAAAGAATTTTCTAAGAAAATTGGAAAAAAAAAAGTTCTATACACCATTATAAAAAAGACTTATAAGGTTATAGGAAGATGAATTTATATAATTTTTTTTTTTGGAGTAAAATTGGTAACAAAATTTTAAATTTGAACCAAATTTATAATAAAATTTAAATATTAGACAAAAAAAAATGTAAAATTTAAAAGACATGTAAAATTACCATTTTAAAACATAATATCAATTATGTGGCAACTTCAACATTCTGAAATTTTGTTTAAAGAAATAACAGTAATACGCTTAAGATAAAACTAGAAATGCGTATTTTTTAAGCAACTTGACTTTCATGTTTTCTTTTTGTCGGGAATATGTCAATTTGGTATCGGTGTCGGTTAAAATCTAATAGATTTTGAAAGGTTTTTTGGGCTTCAAAGGGACCGGTCTAACCGGTATCGGCAATGGGATTAATCATTTTTTTCAAAGAAAAAAGACAATTGCAAAAAGGGTTTGTGGTTGGCAAAACTAGTTTGGGTCAAAAAAAATTTGGTGATGTATCAGTTGTCAAATTTCAAATACATTGTGTGGTTTTAGTCCTATGGTTGATATTTTTGTCTGATTTTGGTCCGTATCCAACCTAAAATGACCAATATGCCATAATATAAATCTTTCTTAATTTCTTTTGTTTAATTTCTTATTATTTTGAATAAAAAAGCAAAAAAATTACCCACCCACCCTCTCTCTCTCTCTCTCTCTCTTAACACCGCCACCGGTCTACCGTTTCCCTATGTTATTGCTTACAACGAGAAACCCACCTCCCATCGTATGGTGATTGGCCCTTCTCCCTCCTTTAGCTCCGGCGCCTCTCACCGTCAATCACCTCCATCCTTCCTCCGATGTTAATCTCACAGTAAGAATGAAGCGCCATGGAAACGACGTAACGCCTCTGACAAACTCAGCAACACATCCTCCAATGATGATGATACATCTCTCGAAATCAATCATCATTCTAACCCCAAAGATACTGATGGATACTAAGAGGACAACACTGATTCCTGTTGCCTCGGAAAGTCTGACCTAAATCGGTGGTTTGGATGGTTTCATAATTAGGTATTGGAAGAGAATCATCAATGGGGAAAACAGAGCAAGAAGCTTTGTACTATGTTATCGGGAAACTCAGAACCAAATGGATTTGATCGCCACCAATGAATTGCCCGTAGCTGCTTGGATCAGGCTTCAATTAAAGTATTATGGGAGGAATATGTGGGTTTTTATGTGCGTGTTCCACCCATCGCCCTCTTCATTGCATATTCTTTTCAAATCCGATTTTGCAGGTCGTGAGATGATTTTGGCAATGGTGTTGGGTTATGATGACGAATGTGTGTGGGTGACGAGAACTAATAAGATGATAACATGATTAATTCATCTTCCTTCCTCAGATCTGCAGGTGATGGCATAAATAAACGAGAACAGGGGAAGAAGATGACGATAAACAATGTGACACGCCTTTTACCGTTACCTCTGTTTGTTCATCACCACCCACCCATGCTTTTTCATCAATGCCCCACTACGTGTTCATCACTATCATCTCCTTCACGTCTTTACTCTCTGAAATGCGAGCGAGATAAAAAAAAATGCAAGTTCTGGTTTGGTGTAACACTTGAAATTGGTAAGTTTCATATTTAACCTTTTTATCTAAAAACTTTTCAAAGTTGGTCCTTAAGCTAGTACGCGGGGCGTACTAGGTGGTACGCGTAGCGTACTAGCCTGATTCTTGATCGTGCATACAGTCCACGTACGCTGGGCGTACGTGGAGTACGCATGGCTTACGTGTGGATTAATGAAACCCTAATTTCTAGGGTTTGCACTCTATTTAAACCTTATGATAGCCTCATTTGGTCATGTATAGACAACCTCCATTTTCCTTTGTCCAGAAATCAAAACCCTAGTGTGTTCTTGAGAGTTTTGAGCCATAAAGAGTTTTTGTTGGAGCTTTGTGAAGGAGAAGAAGAAGTAGACCACTTGGAGTTGTGCTTGGAGCTTGAGGATCCGGGATTAGCTCATCATTTGCTAGCCTTTTTAAGGTAAAAAGTTCACAACTTGCTAATCTATGATGCTAGATCTAGTTATGTTGCCATTTTATGCTTTTTGAGTCCTCGGAGTGATTGATGAGCTTCTTGATTCACTCCAGAAATGATTGATGGTAGATCTAGGTTTCTTTTGGTCCCTTTGTTTGTAAAAATGCAAGCTTGAGGTGTTTATGGACACATGCATGTGTTAACACCATTTTTAAAGCTCTTTTGAGCTCTAGAGCTCCATTAAGCCATGCATGCACTTAAAGTTGCCAACTTTACGTGATAAAACATCTTTTGAGATAAGATTTGAGAGTATAGAGTAGGGGTTGAACGAATTAAGTGCTTAATGATGTGGCATGTCCAACTGGGGAG